TACAATTGACAAACTCACATAGGTTATGTTTACTACTTAAGAACAGCTGATGAGAGGGGTGTTATGTAAACAAACATGTGTACCAACTGTTGGTGATGAAATATTTCATTTGTTGAAAACTCAATATACATATATATAATATAATGATACTATATCTTGAAAACAAGAGCTAATATATAATTTTTATGGTCACTTTCGGTTTTAACACGTGGAAATACATTAAAATCATCTAATTTCAACCCCGAAACAAAAACTTTGTTGTGTTGTGAATTAACGTATACATGTCATTATGGTCTCAGAATTGTTCACAATTTGAGCTCACTGTTCTGGTAGAGACTGAGGCCAGTCTGATGACTTTGAAGTTCTCTGGTGGAATATGATGTTGATTGGTCAGAGATACGAGTATTTAGAGGGAGATATCTCTTCAAGAAATCAGTAAACTTGATACTCAAACAATGAAACATGAATCAATAACGGTGGCTGTACCCACAACAACTATCAACGAATACTTCCAAAATTTCTACTTTCATTTGAAATCAATAAAATATTAAATGAGTAATAGATACTTTCATTTCTCATTTTGTAATTTCAATAATAAAGTTTATTATAGTTCGTATTATCTGAGAGTTTAAAGAATTTAAAGAATGCAAACATGTCGCTACATCAAAGGAAGCAACATAGTAGTCTCAAGCAAATAGCATTGCAATTCACCTACAAAATCATTGAGATATGTCTACCCTCTATATCCCTTGAGGACGCCGCCAACGAGCCATTAAAATAGGGATATGCGACAAAACCGACAAAGAATGCGAAAATACCGCCAAAAGAACCGCTCGATGTTTTTTCTGATATTATGGTAAAGATAATATTAATAGGCGTCGGACTGGGGGTATTAATATAAATTGTCCAATGATATATTTTGTATGATAAGAAGATAATTAAAATAGGGTGAAAACTAATTTTGTTCAAATATTTCATTTTGGGAAGGACAATTTATACTTGAAAAAGTTTTTTATTATTTAGAATTGTTACCTTCTACAGATCTATAAAATAATCAGAATATTAAATTTACAAATGAAAAGGCAAATAGTTACTGCATTTGATAAACTAAAAATCAAATTTGTCATTAACTTGAATTTAAAAAATTTTACATATTAAAAGAAATATGTATCATCTGGTGACGTTTTAAAGACTATCTCCATTATCTTTATCCAACCTATTTAAATTAAAACATTATAATTTGTAGTTATGATTCGTCTCTTGATGTAAATAAATTTGATAATATTATTATCAGTGACACTGACAATATCAAATTGATCGTCGGTATTATAATGAAGATGGATAAAGTATTCGAAACATCACCAGATAAGTATACGAATAGAATAGATTTCCGCTGTTAGAAATTTGAACATCTGATTTCGATTTGAACCGCGTTCAAAATTTTGCGTAGTTCGACGTTTCGGCTTCGACTTTGACATTTTCAGGAAGTAGAAAAGTGCGGCTATAGATACATTTTATATAGTCTTGTTGGTTTGGAAATGAAGATTCATATTCCTTATTGGATTCTATAGTTGATTCAAAAACAATTTTATAGATTCAATGGGAATACTTACTCTGAATAAGATATTGCGATAATTTTAATCCGAAAAAAGTCTACAGGGATTCGTTGAGTGATTCTTCACTGGATGAATCAGTTTCATTAGGATTGATGACAACTGGAATAATTTTTTCTGATAATGATGCTGGGAATGTACTGACGGAAGGAGCATCTACATCTGAATGCTTCTAGTTTCTCATCCACCGTTACATATTGCGAATGGGAAAAGCATTTTTTCCGATTATCATTCCACTTTGTTATCAGACATCTCACTGGAGCTAATTTATCTAGAATACGTCGATCGTCCCGAGTAGTGATGTCGTCAAACCTTATATATCTCAATAAATATCTGAACCTGGTAATGTTCATTGTCAAACGAAACACCTGCATACCAGTGCCATCTGTTTTCCATAAATTAAGGGTGTTCAAATGACTTGCTTTTCCCACACTTGCAAGATATAACAGGCCTATCAATGCACGAATTTCGTCAATGTTTGTTGGATATATATCTCGGTCACGGCTAAACTTGTGCCTTTCTGCTTCAATTTCAGTGTTCGTGTTATCAACGATCATTTGTAACATGTTCGAATCGAATAAACTATTCCAAATATCTTGGATATTGGTTATATTTCTAACACATGGTTTTGATCCTGGAAGTTGCAAAACAATATTTTCTCTTCGAGTTATAACATTTTTAGGTCGTCTATGTTTGGCCCATTTTCTTTTGTGGTCTTTTCCAATAAAGTACGGTCCACGAATGAAAGATAATTCTTCCCTAACTTCTAATTCCTCAACTTCTTCCTCTGTTTCGCTTCCCTCGGACCTTTCTTCAATGTTATCTTCCTCTTCTAATTCCTCTTCGTCATCGAATCCATCTACTGGTTGGACTTCCTCAAAAAGACGCAACAGCCTTTTCTGCTCTCTTTCATAATCCGTAATTTTGACCACAGTAATCGCACACGGTCCACCGCACCAGTTTGTCCAATTACTCACTAACTATTCTAGCACCGTCAACGAAAGAATACACACTGATCTATCATCCCATAAATGGAAGGTACTCATATTTGTTTTATACATGACTTCATAACTGAATAATTCTTGATGAGAACGAAGCAGCGAATTTTCACTTCAAAGCATTTTTTTCCATTTCAACTGATAACAAACCCATTGAATCTGATGAACAGCTTTCAAGTAAAACGAGAAATTTCGTTTCTGAAGTTGAGAACCCATTAATACAATTTGCTGTTTCTATAGAAGCCTACCACATGAACTCCTTTCTGCTTGAATAAATACCTGAATGAATAAGCCCACTTTATCTTTTGTTTTCGCACAACTCTAAACTTTTCTGTCTATAACTCCGTGAAAACCTAACTCATTGGGAATGAAAGCTGACTCCAGTTAATAAAGTTCCATAATTCAACTCAAATATGTTAGAGCTATTTACAGTTGACCTGCTCTTTTCCAGTTTTCAGTCGAAATATTCTGTTCCTAACGAGCATGCTAATTTCAACAACGAGTTTGTTAACGAAACGGTAGACAAACTCTAAACAACAATAACATTCCATTGAAATATATTAGGAAAGTTGAATGTTGCACAACTTTTCGGGGAGTTAACATTCCAAACAGAATTTGGGGTGGTATACAATTCACGCCTTCACATTTTAGGGTAATCAGTTGCAATATTCAACGAGTAGCGTAAAGTTTTGTAAATTACTGACACACTGTTCTGAAGGCGGATTTCCACTGAACGGACTCGCTTGCGACAAGTTTCGTTTTCAAACACAGAAACAAAATACTTGTTTTAGTTTCAAAAACGAACTCGAGATTCGAGTTCCATCAAAGAGACAAAATAGTCTAATCAACAAGTATATCTACGTGAAAAATAGAGATGAAGGCCCTAAAAATATGAGCGATTGCTCATTNTTTTTTTTTTGTCTTCATATTATTGTAGAGTGCGGAAAATATTTTTTATATTTGTTTATGATTTTCCAGGTGGCTGTACAGTAGATGGAATTTATCACCCAGACGGTAGCAAGGTTTCTGGTATCGGCCATACTGTTTGTGATAATTGTTATTGCATTAAAGGTCTCGTAAGATGTGAGCCGTTATCCTGTGCACCACCGTTATTAGGATGTGCTCCTGTAATCAAAGCCGGAGAGTGCTGCGCAGCCAGCTACAATTGCAGTAGGTGTCTTTTGGCTTCAAAGAAAATCAAAACATTCAATATTTTCATTTCTTCAGGTGGCACTATAGAAATTCATCCAGAACCATTCTACGGGAAATTTCCCGTTATAAGTAAAGATTACGCAAAGTTACGGAAGGAAGTGAATAAAAAACAACTAGCAAATACTGGAATCAAAGTAACTGTGTCGCCAAATACAGCTCATTTCAAGCAAAGAAGTCCAGGAACAACAAGACATTTCACTGGTATTCCATTCGACGCTAGCACTGTTGTGCCATCTCTGTACCATGACGTAGCAAGAGCTGAAGTTGTTACGAGAAAGTTTCACTTGAAGAAAAATAATACAGAATTTCATCACATCGAGAATAAACATATGTTGACAGATACTCAGAAAAAAAATTTGGAAACTACAACCCTAGACTATAATTCAATTGAAGAATATAATATCAAATCTTCTGATTACCTAGACTTCCTTCATAAAAATATATTCAGCCTTTTTGAATCGCCAACGGAGGACGGGGATAGTAATATCGCTGCTACAACTACAGAACTAGACAGTGAAACTATAACTACAGAAATACCTTCAACCACTGAATTTGTGAAAGATATTTCTGCAGAATCTACTTTCACTACATTTTTTGAAGAGTCGACTGAAATAGTCACCCAGACATCTGATAACTCCTCTATTTCGCATAAATTTCCCTCCAACATGTCTCACCCAATCACAGTAAAATCGGTGGTAAAGTCTACAGATTGTATCCAAAGCATGGACAATGCGGTTGAGAGACATACAAACGATTCATTGAATTTGAATACCGGAGTTCAAAAAACAGCAAGTGAAGCCGAATTCAGTTCAACAGTGAACGATGATTCTCCCAACACAACCACAGATCTTTTCATTAAAGTGGACAGTAAACTGAAACTAAATGCCACAACTACCAGAATTATTCCCGTTTCCGCAGTACTCTCTAATAAAAGTAAACCCAAAATATCGGATTATGACTACGACTATAATGAACCAAGTCTACCACCGAGTCTACCAAATTTGAGGTGAGAAATATAATTTCATTTATTTTTTGCTGTTTGTTTTGTGAAGGAATTGGCCGATACCTGATGAAAATCCATAACTAACGTATTCAAAAAACACTTTACTGTGATATTTTCACTAAACAGTTTTACAAAAACGCAACAAGTGTTGCGCGTTGTAAAACTGTTTACTGAAAATCCCACAATAAAGTGTTTTTTGACTTATAAATTTAACTGAAGAAATTTTTGCGTCGAATGATATTCGTAATAGCTATTCATGACATGAGTGTTAAAAGTAAGGTTTTATTTTGTGAGTGACGGACTGAATAAAACTCAACACAACTATCATTCAAAGTTTTTTGAAGAATTGTCCTGTTTTCATAATGAAATAGATAAATTCATTATCTTTATTTGTGAAATGATAAAACAACGATAAAAATAAAAACAACAATAAAAATTATTTGACGCTCCGGGGCGACTTCATTGATTCCAGTGGCGCATTTGCTTTTTCAGCTGCAGGAAAACCCGGAAAACCTGCAGCACCACATCATCTGAAGATCTTGATCTGCCAATTTCCTCTCTCTCATAAAACAAAATGTAGGGTGTCTCCAGAGGATCCAATAAATTCAATACATCGCCAGAACACTTCGTGACACGACTATCGTCAAACTTAAACCAGGCCGTTTCGTCTTTGACCAAAGCGTAATATGGACCAAATTCAACGCCAGAACCACAGTGAACAATGACTGCATGAATATTATAATAGTGGTCTGTTAGATTGAATTGTTCATCTATTTTGAATCTTCAAAAGAGATTCTTGCTTCCGTCAGAGGTTGAGTCTTGTTTGAAGATCATCAGTGTTATAATCAGATTGACTGGTGCATCAGCTATACATACTTGTTTCCTTATAACAGTCAGTTAGTTTGGCGCATATTTGGCAAAACAGTTGATCATCATCTGTTTGAAATTCCATTTTCAGATGATTTTACAATAACCTTTGCACGGACTGGTTATTAGTCATATGAGGAAACAATAGATGACGTTCCAGAAATTCACATAAGTTTTCGCAACCTCTTGAAACATTTAGTACAAAGTAAACAAGTGAGGATTTTTCCAGCAGAAGATTCACAAACACAAGACGAAATGGATGGACTATACGGAATCATTCAATCCAGAGCAGTCAGGAGTATTGATTCTGCTATTGTTTTGCTTACGAAGAGTTTTCAAGAAGAACCCCAAGAATTCGTAATAATCCTCTTGTTGTCCTAACGAGTATCTAGTGGACCTCAAAAACTTCAGGGAATCGGTTAGAGGGAGAGATGACACATTCTCACGAAACTGTAGCTGCGTGAACAGGTGTTTGAGTTTGATGAATAAGTAGGAAACATTTCCGTTTCCGTTCATCATTAAAACATCGTTCTTGAAATTCTTCGTAATGAACAACACTTGTAAAATGCTATTCATGTAGCAAGTGTTTCCTAAATCATCCAATCCAATTTTCTTCTCTAGATTTTCAGCACAACTCTCTACTGATTCGTAAGGAAGAACATGTTTCGCAGAATCTCCATAAGAACCATTTCTCAAGCTACCATCAATGCTTCCAAGTGAAGAAGGGTTTCGTAGAGGGATCGATTCGGCTCTTGCTTCATGAAAGAGAACCAGAAAGGAAACCAGAACTACGAGGACTACAACTCATATTTGGGGGGCAAGAATGACCTGAGTCCATTGATCGCACTGAAAAAGAAGGTTGATCAATCACTTGTGAATTAACCTTGATAGGACACGGCTTGTTTCGAAGAGATTTCAGTTCCGTACTGAAATTAGGGCAATGCATGATATCATCAAAATTATGTGAAGGAGGAATAGTTCCAAGGACTGATGTAGCATTGCCACGTTGAATAGCAATACTAATCATTTCTATCAGAAAAGAGGTAGAACTCTAGTTTAATAAAAGAGTCTTTTCAATCCGTATAAGGTTCTTTCAGTAAAATAACTAAAAAAAACGACTTTGATCGTTCGATCATTCATGCGTAATTATTAGTGTTTGTGTTTTTTTTGATAAGTGTACTTGTTTTTGAACGTCTGGAGGTCGTTTGGAGGTCAATTTGCACTCCTTCCATTCCAATGGAATGGAAGAGGTGTAAATAAATTAGTTTTCTATGACCCAAGTACTTTAGAATATATTTTTGAGGGACACATAAAAACGAAGTGTATCGGTGATTTAAAGATTACCTATATTATTATATGGAGGATGGCGAAAAACATTTCCAGCAGTTAGGTACTTGACTAATACCGGTGTTGCATCTTGTCTTGACAGAATAAACACTTTTCGAACTAGACTGATCATCCCATGGACGTAGAAGATCATCCCACGATGCTGGATTCTGGTAGAACAACTCTCGAACAGATGTGGTGCTTCAGAGTCAATTGTGAAGCTAAGCCCGACCTTGACAAAGTCGATCTCAGAAGACCAGCGTCTGTCGGCGTTATTTTTTTCGGGGGATAATATTTTTGATGCATGGTCTTTTACTTTATTTCAGCATAATTGTGGTTTTTTTATAGTAGGTTTCGTCATTTCCAAATGGTGGGTAAATATCTGAGTGACGGCACTTACGCCCTAATAATCCATCCAGAAAAGGAGTTATACATCTTTTCAAGTCACTAGTACAAATGGAAATTATCATGAAATGTTTTATTATTTTTTATCTCCTTCACTGTTCTAATAGATACACTGACATAATAACCAGGGATATCTTCTAATGCCATTTCGTCGTAATTACTTGTCCTTCTATCCCTATAAAACATGCTTCACTTTTCTTTCTCCACAATACCACTGATGAGAGCAATACACTCTTTCATTCATTGCAACATTTATAGATTGGTGACTTTGTTAAACAAATATTCAGAGGTGAAAACATTAAGAATGGCAAAAAAGACGCTGATTACAAGGGTAAAGAGGATACAAACGAATGGACACAAATCTAAAGGTGTGTCTGGAGTTGATCTGAAAACTATCGATCAGGTTACAAATGAAAAGTTTCTGAAAAAAAATGTATTAATATTTAAATCCAATGAGTCTGAAGAATGTTTCGAGAAGTGATACATACGTATATACGGGACAATAAATATTTACCATTTATCTTTACCAACGTTCCTACATCGTAGGTACTAATACATTCTTGTCGGAAAACAACTACTTTTCCGGCTAATAGGTGTAAATTGAATTATATCTGATAGATATTCATGCAGGATACCTCACGAAGGTTAATCTTGCAGATGTTTTTATTCAATCCAGCAGCAGGACCACGCTGAAATTAATCGAGTAGATTATCTGCAGACGGGTTTACAGGTTTTATCTCTCATCAGTGCAGGAAAGATCTGGCCCAAACAGCAAAATGTCTAGAATTCGATTGATTTCAACGCGGCTCGACAGGATGTATGAAACCTTGGTAACTAGTAACAGCTCCATCTCATGAACGGAGCCCCAAGTGGGATAGGAACTTCTCATGAATCAATACTCCAACGGCCCGCCATACCCCCTCCCGGGTTGAGTGCCCTGAAGTAGATCCTCCCTTCCCCCGCCCCAGCTAGTTAGCGAGGAGAACTTACTACCCCCTCCATCCACCTGCGCTCTCCGAGCGGTTCTCAACTTACTGATGGGCACTTCAGCAAAATTGACATCTGACCTCTTTTGGTCGAAAGCCAGCCTTTAGGTGCTTTTCTTTCGCGATCGGTTGAAGTATTATTTCGTGACTATTCCTAACTGAATTTTTGCATGGGGACCCCCAAAAACTAACCGGCGGCTATTGTTATTAGCGTCGAGCGTTCCTCAGTAAATCTAAGGATAATTGTATCGCGGTCGAGTTGTTTTGCGGTGAACTTGCTGAAAGAAAATCTGATTAATATGCTTACCGAATTTATTGATTAAGTCATATGAGTTCCGTAGACTAAATTTTGGTTGGAAGTTACAGTGGTTTAAGATGATATTGATTAGCCTTTCTGGTAATTTCACTGATGGTGCAGTGACAAAGTAAACCACTGGTCTAATTGGATAACTCTGTTTGTGCAGTTTTATGAGTGAATATAATTTTGGCATTTGAGGGTTCATCAATGTTAATTTGAACTTTTCCCTTTCCGTAAAAAGTATGTTCAAATTATTCAAAAAATCTTTCACTTGTCTTTGGAATGCATTAGTTGGATCACGTTTCAGCGTTTCAAAATTTCCTAAATTCAAGAAATCAAGGGTTTTGTTGACATAGTCAATTCGATCAATAGCAACTACAGTATTGCCTTTATCTTCTTTAGTTAATATAACAGTATTTTCGTTAATTTTACTACGTATTGATTTCACAAGTTTCAATTCATTCGTAAAATTACCTTCTTTCAAAAATTCTGACTTTATGATATGTGACGCCAGGTGTTTGTTATTAATGCTATCCAATGTCCCTCCTAATGCCATTTCAGTTTCTATCCCCAAAATTTCAAAGTGCTATTTTCATGTCCAATGTTGTATTTGAAACCCTTTTCTATCAACCCATTTTCAGTGTCTGTGAACTGAACTTTCGATAAATTTATGAACCTGTCATAAAATTTATGATTCGTGAAATTGTTTCTAATAGTTAGAGGTGGTTTCTCTTCTATTAGTGAATTTAGTTTTTTGTTTTGAATACAGACCATATTAAATAATGAGTAGCAGAGGAAAGTTCATATAGCTACAAATGATTTGTGTACATCCTTCTTATGAATATTACTGAAGTTCCATCCCAACACCAAACCCTTGTTTTTGACACCTTGACACGTGTTTCAATCACCATGTGATCATCTCCGAGAGGAAGATTAAACAGTTTGATATTTTCCTTGAAGATGATCACTTGGTGATTGAAACACGTGTCGATGTATTAAAAATAACTGTTTGGTGTTGGGACAGAACTCCAGTAATATTCATTACTACACCAAAGGTTCAAAACAATGCATCACAAATACATCCTCTTTGTGCCTGAGTACTCTCGAGAATTGAGATCTAGCAAGAATCTAGAAAAAAATATTTGGTAAAATGATTTGACCCCATAATGCCTCTGGAATAGTTTTTTTGTCTTGGGAAATACATTTTTTTCCTATTGCAGAATGGAAAAAAATATTTTTAGGTAGCAACATACAAAAATTGAGTTGCAAATTCAAAAAGTTTTTACAGGACATACACAATATATTAAATAACGTGATGGAATATTTTCCTTGTATTTCCAAAATCATTCTCTATCGATACCATTTTCTCACATTTTTCGGAATGATTTTAGTTTTTCTAGACCAGTTTGATATTGCACTTGTTATATTGAATTCTGAAATAGGTCGATTTGTAAATTTGAAAGCCGATTTATGAATGTATTTTCTGAAGACATTACGTCACTGAAAAAAGGTTTTTCAATATTGCATTCAAAGATAATCATTAATTTCATTTCAATAAGGGAATAACCCCATATCTAACGAAATACCATCCACCAGTCTTCATACAATAAGCAAATCCACGGACACGTCCCTTTTGCACATTGCGAATAACTCCTGACGCAATATTCTGCTTATTACGGCCCCGATTCGTCGATTTTCCAGCTCCTTTAAATGTTATGGTTTGAATCTCTGATTTATGAAAGCAAAAAAATATATAATTACGTACCCTCCGGAATCAGAGAAGAGAAAAATTATTACAAATTCATAAAAATAATGAAAGAAGCTCTGCTCTGATTTTATTTTAGATACGATTTCATTCTCAGTATGTGTTATTTATATTTTTATGTTGTTTTTAGTTAATTTTTATGTGATTTTCTTTATATATTCACTTATTTTATCTATATTTGACATGTGCTTATTTTTCAACTGATTAGTATAAGGTTTTTCAACTTTTGTAAATATTTTGTATATTTAAAAAAGCACAACTCAACAATTTTTTTCATATTTCATTAGTTCGGACTTCCATTGTCTAATATAATATAAATTGATTAGAAATCACTGTAAAAAAAAAAATATTAACCGAAAATAACAGTTTTATTAAACAAAAACANTCATCATCATTTTTTTCAGTGTAATTATCATTTATATGCCGATGATACTCAAGTATATTTTTCTTTTAGTATGGCCGAAATTGAAAAAGCTAATGTTGTAATTAATGCAAACCTATCGCGACTCTAACATTATCGAAAAAACATTTTCTAAAAATCAATTCTTAGAAATCTTTCGCTTTCAGCGATCATGTGAAAAATTCGGTTTACATCTGGAATCAAAATTGCGATTCCACAAACATGTTACTTCTAAACTGAAAACGGCATACGCAGCTCTGAAATTGTTAAATTCTCATCGAAATGAAATGAATTTCAAAACAAAAAAATGTTATCTGACTCGATGGTTTTATTACATTTCAACCAATGTGACACAGTTTATGGTCCTTTTCTTCGGAAATCTGATGCCTTTCGTATCCAAAAGGTACAAAATTCATGTCTACGTTTAATTCATAATCTCAAAAGAAGAGATAGGATTTCACATAAGCTTAAGGAAATAGGCTAGTTGAATATTTGTCTATTCGTCGTTAACTACATTCACGTTGTTTTTTTATAAAATCCTTAAAACTGATACGCCTGAATATCTGTGCAGGAGAGTCACATACAGGACAGATGTTCATAATCTCAACTTGAGGAGAAAGACTCTCATTGATATACCAATGCATAATAAAAAAATATTTAAATTCTCCATTTTTTATCAGATTGCTATAATTTCCTCTTTACTGGATATTCCCGTTTTTGCATTGTCTCTGAATTCCTTTTAAAAAAAAAACAGAAAAAATGTGTTGGCTCACCAATGATGATGATTCATTATATATTTTGTTCTTTTTTTTTAGAGTAGTATTGTTGAGAATATTTTGCTTTGTTTCATGCAGATAGTCCTCACACTGATATGTTGTCTTCACGAAATATGAGAAATGACGATGATGACTGAAATTATTTTATTTTTAAAAACTCCCACTTAGATTTTGAATTCCCTACAAAGGATGGCATTGATTGATATGTTATCAACATTTGAACCCTGTCCAAAAAATTGCACCTTCTCCAATGTGCCTTTTTCAAAGGCTGATGAAAAATGTAAAGTTGAGAAATCCCTTTTAGTATATAAGATCATCATAGGAAGGCAGGAATAATAGTAATCTTTTCCGTATTCTTGTAGAAGAAGATGATTCACCTGACTTTATAGTCAAAGAATTCAGAAGTAACATATAATACTAGATCAGTTAGTCCAAGTTTCTCATTTGTTTCCTCAAGAAACTCCTCAATCATGGCAGAGAAGTGACTAGGAAAAAAGGAAAATTTCAAAAATGATATTCTTCAATTTAAATGATACAGTTTAAAAGGTCCAAACCCTTCAAGGCAGATTCACTATTGATAACCGATTAGTTCCTAGAGCAGCCTAAAAAAATTTTAGTACATACTCGTACACCTCCCAAAGAGAACATTTTCAGAGTCAACAATTGAGACACCGAGTGGGTCATGTTTTTCAATTCATCGTTCAGGAGGTCACCATCAAGAATTCCCTACTGCCACACAATAAAAAAATAGTTAGAGACAAATTTGGTAGTCAGTGTCAGGCAATAGAAATTTGACAGTATTGAATTTGAAGTGACGATATTGACAGGCTTTATTTGGTACATATAAATTTCCAATATATTTATGGAAAGAAGTTAATTTCATTAATATTAATTATACTATTCTGCTTTCGACTGAAACCATTCTTTTTACAGAATTTCTTGGCATAAGCAATGCAATAGAAGCACGGTCTGAGCCAGGAGAAGATCTTGATATACCCCTCGATGAAACTCATTTCGCAAAAGGTACGTGAAAAATCCTTTTACACTAAAACCAATTTCAATGTATTTTTAGCGTGCGTTTCGAACGGAACTATTTTTGGTCCAGGATCTGCAATGGATACTTCCTCCTTCTGTGAATATTGCTATTGTATTGGAGGCAAAGAAACTTGCATCAAACCTAAATGCCTTCTTCCAGTGGAAGGCTGCACTCCTATTTTCGACCCTTCCTACTGTTGTCCTATACATTACAATTGTACTTCAACGACTAGATTCTTAACAACCAGTACTACAACAGAGCTACCACGATATAAACAAGGTATTGATAACGTTTCACTCATGCATGGTTTTTATATATATATATATATA